TAGTTGATTATTCATGATCGTCTTTAAGGAAAAATCAGAATTGGCCATGTAAATGTCACTCTATGAAAAATCTACTTCGTCTAATGGTAGCTTAAAATCGACCACATTACCTTTTCCCACTGAAGCTTTTTTGATACCGGCCTCCTGAGCTTCGGTTAAGCCACGTGCAATTGGCCTGTTATCAGTAACAGCATGGTGATAGGAATCTTGGGGCTGATCATGACGTGAGCAGCGGCCGTCGGAATCTGAATAAGAGCCAGCAGAGACAGACTGGGGGGCAGAAGAAGATGTAACAGCATTCATACTCCTGCCGAAATACAAGATGGAAAAAAGAGGATGAATAAAACTTGATCAGAAATTAATAGAAATGAAATTGAAAGGAGGAACTAAGATAGAAACGACGCAAAGAAACAAAAACTTATGAAGACTATCAATATCCCTGCTAAACGAAATGTCATGAACAGAAAATCGGAAGAAGACTGGGTAAAAAATAATTTTGTAAATACGAAGAGTAATAGAGTTTCGATGAATCTCCTGAAACAGCATTGTGGAGAGACTTTCATTTTGTATGAAAGAGCATGAAGAGATTCGAAAGTCAATCTCACCAGAAGGAGAGAGCTTATATTTATTGTACTGCAGCGAGTTGGCTCTACTACAACATTCAGGTTGACGCAGTCCACGAGACACCCTTCCTAGTTTCGGATAAAATCAGGCTCAGCTATCGTCCACTATATGATAGACAACATGAGAGCTAAAATCCTTCCTGTAAAAGTCTCACGCTAGCATTAGGTCAATAAAAGTATCCAGCTCTATCTTACATTTTATATATACTGTGTAAAAAACGAAAATGAACAGGCATATATAGATATAGAATGGGTTGCCAATTGTATTTTATATTGGTCCTGCTACTTCTGCTCGAGGAGTGTGTACGCTAACGTCCATATGCAATACTGGTCCAAAATCAAAGTGATAAATAAAGGGCTAATGTTAGGTTGCAGTAATCAAGGCTTAATGACCCGAGAAAAAGCTATAACTGTCCATTAGCAATTATGGTTGAGTTGATGTGATGTAAGCTTACAAATAAGTAAGCCAGGATACCAAATTACCTGTCCTAACCTCTCAGTCTAGGGTTATTAAAGTGTAACCACCCAAGGAAAAGCATGTTTGGGGCTGCGTAATCTTGCATGTCTGGTTTGGTTGATGAGCTTAATTTAACATAGTGGACGAGTGTGAGCGAAGTTAGGACCATCAATAAGCAAAAAGTCAAGTCGCCTTATCTTGGATGGCGGCTAACCCCTTGTTTTCTCTTTCAATCTTTCAATCAAACATAGGTAATTTTTACTTGACTTTCTATCACCATTTCTCATATTCAACATATTCCCTAATCTATTAATTTTGATTGCCTCTCTTGTCCTGAGTTTCGTAACAGATTTACCAAAATTAGCAAACCTATGCGTCTGAGACCATTATATTTTATCTCCAGTCTCTGTCATGTCTTTATCCACTTCTGACCGCTCGACTCAGCTGCCATAACAAGCATTTTTGTGCTCCACTAAACTTCGCTACATCGGGCAACAGGTTTCACCAACATAAGGTCGACTACAGAAGCACTTAACATTCTAGTAGCCGGATATTCATAGTGGCTCATATTTCTTCATAAAAGAAAGCCTAACTAAAGATGTCAAAGTTTCGTTGAAAATTGTCTTTATCCCCCCCCTGCATCACTATCTCTGACAAAACAGTCTCTACCTGAAAATTTATTCCTTATTAAAGATATATTATTATCAATTAAGTCTATAGGATAATTCACTCTGGAGCATCCAGAGATCACACAAGGGATAAGGTTTAGCGTAGCGACCATACATAGATTGTTTAACCTATCCATGAGTAGTACCTGTTTTACCTTTGAGGATTGGTGTCCCAGACACAAAAACTTGCGATGGGATCTTGCTTGGCTCCCCTCTTGGCGAACAGCTATATGGCCACATTTGAGGAACAGTATTTAGAATAGGCAGCACTAACTGCTAAATTGTCGGTTAGATACATGGATGTCTTTTATGATCTAGCTTCATGGTAAGGAAAGCCTAGATAGTTCCATACTTTCACTAAACCAATGTGAAAGAAACACTAGGTTCACGAAGAAAATAGACGAGGATAGTCCTCACCCTTTTTGAATGTTCTGATCATTAAAGAAAAGGCTGAGTTAGGAATAGATGTTTATAGGAAGCCAACGTATGTCTTTTCTGAATTTTCTTTCCAACCATAGTTACAATACAAATGTTGGAATTTTTAAATCAATAATTATTAGAATTATGAGATTAGCAGATAGCAAACATTTGACTAGAGTTAGAACAGCTGAAAAATTTATTCCTGGAAAATAATTATCCATTGGGTCTAATTGTTAATAAAATCTTAGTAAGGAGGAATACATTTTCAGACGGAGACTATTTAGTCAAAGATAGACAAAAGGAGACCTTTCCTCATGCCCCGATTTTACTAGCATGCCTTATTTCAAAAAATGATAGAACTAGTAAGAAAGTGAGGGGTAAAAACAGTATTTAAAGAAACCCTCACACTTTCTTATGCTATACCATCTTTTAGAGAGAAATATGATCCATTATCGAGATTGTGTTTCTGTAGCGTTATGCTGATGAGACATGAAGGCCAATTCGAAAAAGAATATAACACAACATTGCTTGTAAATGGAGCTAGGCTCAATGGTCAGAAGTAGCCGAACACATGGCACAGACTGGACATGAGATTAAGTGGTATAAAACTAGTGTGTTTGCTAATTATAGTACGTCCGCTGTTAAAAGGAAGATAAGAGAGGCTATTGAAATTAATATATTAGGAAATATGCTGGATGTAAAGAATGGTAGTAGAAAGTAGAGTAAGAAATACCTATGCTTGATTGATAGATTGAAAGAGAGAGATATGGTTTAGGCGACTCGACTGCTCATTGATGGTTCTTACGTTACTCACACTCATCAACTGTATTAGATTGAGCTCATCAACCAAACAAGAAATGCGAGATTATGCAGTCCCAGTCATGCTCTCCTTTGATGTACCAAGTCCACTATCAGATGCTGGAATTTATGACAATTACTATGGTAGACGACTTTGGACCAGGTGCGTTCTACAAAGTCACCCTGACAACAAGACCAAGTTGCGACGAGGTAAACTCACTTATATAAATGGAAAAGAGACTGCGACCATACCAGAAGCAAAACCATCTTGGTCTTCATATCTTCAATTAAACTACGGTGGTAAAATTACCAGAAAATGCACTGAATACAGCCCAATAAAGAAGACAATTGTAAGTAAATGTTCCAATGTGACTTTTTGAACTGTTGTAAATGTTATGGTATCCCTCCTAAGTTCTGTGACCTTAAGAGACCCTACCACTCGGATAAGGTTAATGAGTATCTCCACTAGGCTTCTATTCAGAAAATAAGTAGGATCTATGTTACAGAACAGAATAAGCTGGTTAAGTTTATAGCTATTAAGTCAAAGCTTCGGCGTGATCTGACCAGGATCCTGTTTTCTGAAGATTTTAAAAC